GTAGTGGGACAGATGATGCACATACGCGAATCTGTGGCATACTATTTGTATGATTCTAGACAAGTACGGCTGCATTGTGGATACCACCGAATCTCAGAGCATAAATGTCACGCTACATTCTGGGTTGTTTCGCAGTATGGCTTTGAATTTTAAGACCTATGTGGCTCCTCGATCAAGGGCCGTCGTCTCAGAACCATAGGTGATGTAAACTAATGTAGACGGATCCACAACTGGTCGAGTGTTCGGGTGTGTAAGAGAGATTTTAATCGAGGAAAGTGTGATGGTAAGGAAGAGACTCCAAGAAGACTGCGCATGTCGGTTTGAATTTCCGTTCGGGATAAAGCAAGTAACTTATGACGACATTATTTAGGCGAACTATCTCGTTGCAAGCATCATTCCGGACATGACAGCAATAAAAGAAATTGGGGCAAACTAGATGACGTTTAAGGCTGAATATTCAGATTGATTCCCCTCCTCAAACATGGTAAGCAGTTTATAGTGAATCTGCTGATTTTCATTCATTCAACAATTATCATATTGGGAGAAGGCTACTCATCCAAAGACAAGGATTTATCGCAAAGTATTCTCATCAGAAAGATGAACTAAAATTTCCCAAATGGATACAACCAAACCACCCGGTTTCTGGTTGGGAGACACTCACGACCATTCTCCATTTGCACAACCAAAACTTCCTTGCAACACTAACAGAACCAGTTGTATAAAGATTTAGTGATTGATGATATTTATTTCAAGACGAATTACCACTCAACCTGATTGTAATGTCTTTGGATTTTACTGGGACTGACTCAAAAATGGGTATATTACTAGAATCAGCATGATATGGCTGCTAATCCGTCTCATTGGCATTCCTGATAACAGTTATCATTCAGATTGGCTGACTGAGTGTCTGGAAGTTTTGACATCATCAAAGGATAGTGGTAAACCAGAAGCGAATCCTTTCCTTTGCTTCACAATATGGCGTCCACCTGAAAACTGCTAGCGCGGCAGCGGCGTGTACTGATGACACGTTGACGCGGATGATGAAGATCACGTTGAAGATGATGATGATGATGATGTTGATGAAGATCCTGGCGATTATATCGATCGTGATGATGATAATGATGATGGTGCGGAATGATTGAATCACTTGATTTTCTCAAATTTCTCAGACCAAGGACCCGGCTAAACAATACGACGTCACATACGCAGTTGCCACTGTATACATTCATACCGGATTTAGAGGAGGAACCGTGGACAAAATTCATATTACAAACTAGTAAGTCGACCTTTGTTGTTCTAAATGGACCATGTTTGTATTGTATCACCTGGTCCGAGATTCAAATGAACCACATTTTATTTATTTAGCATAATCAATGAAGCCTATTGAGTGCTTTTCGATTTAAAATACAGGTCTACGGATATTTTCAAAGTCTCCAAGTCATTTCGGAAGAAGCTTGTGTGTTTTTTATATTTATTTAGCATAATCAATGAAGCCTATTGAGTGCTTTTCGATTTAAAATACAGGTCTACGGATATTTTCAAAGTCTCCAAGTCATTTCGGAAGAAGCTTGTGGTGTTTTTTACCTTCATTTGGCATTGATTATTTTATCAACGAAATAACCGTTTTTTTATTTGAACATAAAAAACGCGACACAAATGTCGCCAGGTGCTTTGATTTCCTGTTCTGACTCAATTTAAATGAAGGTGTTTTGTTTCAGCTCACAGAAATCCCTTTATTACATTTGGGCTTGAGACAGCCCGTCAATCATCTAGCCCACGCGTAAAACGGTAATTGCGCTATGAGGTCAAAACTTGATACGACTGGAGTTTACTGTAATCAACTATATGCACTTTCGTTATTCAGTGTTAGACAACAATCAGATTCGGATGTGGTTAACAACCTGTTGACAGGAGCCAGATCTATACTAGGGTAGATGACGTCCCATATTATCTGATATCATGAGAAATATTCGGAATCGTTTTTGGAGATTTTTATCTTGGAATTGAGGGTTGTTTATGTCCAACTGCTGAGAATTACTGTCGAGCCCTTTCACACTTACTCCAAACCATCACCAGCTCGGATCTCATGAAACTCCAGGTAGTTTCAAACCGGACCAATCACGGCCCGGCTAGTGGTTTTAGCACATAACCGCTTGGCTGGTCACCAATATGATCGGCTCTCGCTGGCGCGAGACCGAGCGCCACGGTTACAGTCAATGGGAGAGAAAGGTGAAACTCTCCCATGCACCTTGTTTTTGACAAACAGCATAAGCTGTTTCTTCTCGAAAGCGTCCTCTGGTACTTCCGGGGATATTCACTGATTATTGCGCAATTACAAACGAATGCTGTAAAGCATTCCGTAATTAACTGCCTTCCATTGGATCAAGGCGCGGTTACATAAAAACTACATACTTTTCGCATTCATCCATTAGTAGTACCCACAGTTACACACCTTATCGCTCCAAATGTTGCTTGCATAACACCGATTTCCATTTATCTCCGTTAGGTTGACCACAGCTGCTGGTCGTTTAGTCAGCTCCTCGGTTGTATCATGACAATTCTAAAGCTGAGTCCTATTTACTCGTTCCGATCATTGGCTCTTTTGAAGCAGTAAAGAGTTCGCACAGCGGTCGTTAACAACAAACGGAACATGGCATCGACTGCTCGGCTGCCACTAGGAGTACACTGACGAAAATGGTTGCCAGCCTCAAATCTGTGGGCTACAAAACGCGTCTGGCGATTCTTGATCTCTTTCCCCTGGAGTACCGTCGCATCTGACGGAACCTAATTCTTACTTACGCCCTGTTTGAACAAAGCTTAGCAAACAGTTTTTTACCCTTGACCCAGCAAACTCCAGGCGGGGCCATAGTAAGAAAATTTTCAAGCTTAGAGCACGCACCTTTATTATACAAAATTTTTTCTCATTTCGGGTAGTAGCTGCGTGGAATGAGCTTCCTAATTTGGTTTCTGCTCCGCACTGAGAGCATAAAGAGCGGTGCTACACCCTTTTTCACTTGTGCCTTTCATGTGAACGACAGCCACTGACCGACCCCGGAAACTTGGGTGGAAGCCCGCAGCCTGCACATCAATCCGTGAATCCGTGACGATGCCACTACGATTGGTCGCGGAATGCCCAAATGCCAATCAGGTTAGTTCACGTCATGTTTGGAGTAGGTGACCGCGGCCAACGAGGACTGACTTGATCGGTACTGTACTCTAAATATTGCTTGGTTAACTGGAAACTGCTCTAAAGCCGCTCAATCTTCTCTCTTGTTTTAGAATGTCGTTTAATTTGTGCTACGACGTTGCGATCAGTCAGCCACTTTGTTACCGCCATTTGTCAAAGAATTTCTCCTTTTGCTCAAAAGTGATACAAAAATTCTTAATTTCGTGTCAATGATTAATTTGCTATCATATCAGTAATTTTACAATTCCACGCCTAAAAGTTTAATCCCATCAGTAGACATTTAGTACGTGCTTCGTAAATGTCTGTAGTCAGTATGTTTCGTTCGTTCGGGTGAATGTCAGGTCACAAATTTTTAGCGCAACGCAATATTACTGAGGATGTTCGTGCAACCAAATTAGAAATTTAGAAACTAATGATCTAGGTGTAGCGACTTACCACACAATAGGAGCACGAGAATTGAGATACCGTCCAATTATAGAGAGTCGAAAAGTCAGGGTTTGGCTCTAACCACAGACACCCGATCAGTAAGTTTGCGTTCACACCAATGAGATATCCCGAGCTTACTAATGACAACGCTTTCACTCTAATATTGGGCATCTGATAGTTTTTCTATGGTTTTTGTCGTGGATTTTAAAACACATGGCTGTTTAAGTTGGAGTGTTGGCAATATTCTCAGTCTATGGTGTTTTGCTTGTATGTCACAGGGTGCCAGTAATAGTCCGGGTGGAACACATTCCTTTCAGTAAAAGGAAATGCTAATGCTCAGGCCTGCTAACTACACAGAGTCACATCACCGGAAGTTACCAGGATGAGAACGCATTGTCCTTAGGTTGCTTTTCGCCAGGGATTTGCCATCAGCAGAACTACTTACAAACTAGCGGATGACGTCGTATTTTGTGCTGGTGTTATATAGTGATCTGTCTCAACTGGAACGTATGTTACCCGGCTCCCAACAACATGTAGTTCAGTGCATTGTTGGACGTTTTAAATGCAGTAGTCCGCATTTCACACAAAAAGCATCCATCGCAGTTTGTGGGTTTACATATCTAATCAACGGCAGAAGGACTGTCCAGTACGGAATGAGTTTTTTGTTCGTACTGAGGGAAACATCTTTGGAGCCTGTTAATCAACTGTCACACCCCATCTACTCGGTAGCGTTGAATCCTCTGTGATGTACTACTCTGCGATTTCCTATCAGCCCTGTTTTAATTAAACACCAAATGCACGCCTAGCTAATGAAACCCCGAAAGGAGAGACCGGTTGTAAGTTGTTAAAGAGTAGTCAGTGAACCTATGTTTAGAAATACAACATCAAGTAGCCAGTGTGCTAGGAAAACAATGACATAAACAGACGAATACAAACCAGCACCGTCCTGGCGACTTCACGTAAGCATCGCATGCCGTTGTGACTGGCTGTATGAGAACTTATTTGAAGTACATGGGGCTGAGTTGCACTATGGGTCTCTAGTCTAGTTGAGGTATACAAGAGAAATGGATGAAGTTTGAGCAGTGTTAATTCAGTTGACGGACTAACCGAAAACTGCCCTAGCTGCGTTGATCGACCCAAATTATATTGGTCGTCCTTCGAGTAAATCGTGCATTAGTTCATCAGATTTGTGAAAGCGTCTTTATGGTACACAAAACCTGAGAATTCGGACAGTTTGACATGAATTTGTTTTTTTAACGAACGATTTTCATAAAGTCAGTTTGATGGAAAAATACCACTCATTTCTTTTAACGAACGGCAGAACACGATGGGGACCATTTGCGATTCATTTTACTTGTGAAACGTCACACCACAGAGTGCGTGTCCTCTAGGAGCAGACGCTGTGGACAGAATTGATGATGGCTTGGTCCTCGTACCCGACTTCGCATAGCTCCACTAGTTGAACTGATAGCTGAGCTAACCATGGAACCTGAAAACGGAGTGAAAAACGATCTCAGCTTGGTAGTCAATGCAGGCACGCAAACGAATGGTTCACCACGCATATACAAGAAACTAGATAATTAATGAATCACCACACATACGACGGGCCGAGGGTCGTACATGTTTAACACAGGTTTGGACCAATGCCTAAAAACGCTACCAAAGGAACAGGAATGTGTGATCAGGCAAGAGTCACCCTAACGTGCACCAACGAAATTCAGCTTTCAGGAGAAAAAGTGCAATTAATGCTGTTGGGTGGGTAAGATTTTCTGTGAGGCACACTGAAGTTCGGTCGGATACCTGGCCCGAGATTGAAGAAATCACATATGAGAGGTGTTGGCGAGTATCAGCACAGCTGAATCCCAGAGGTTTCGAAGCATCTCGATAAAACGACTTCACTGTTAGCAGAGAACACGCGGGTGATTGAAACTGTGTAAGCGCTGCGAAATAAATTCCTTAGTACTAATATTAACGGTCCCACCCAATCTTGGGGCTCGGCAGGTAGTCACATTCCCCGAGTTCCCGTAAGCCTCATGTAATACTGGAACACAAATTACACATATTTTGACCAATGCTTCCAGAGCAAGAGAAACAAACGAATCCGGGTGAATCTTGTCAGTGATGTTTCGTCCCAGTAAATGCTCAAATGAAACAGACGGTTGACAGGAACTCAGGAAGTGTGCCTACCTAATTAGACCTACCTGATGACGAGAATGGCAGAAGTGTTCGTGAGGTGCTAAAAACCTTCCAGTAACCATCTAACTAGTCCATTATTACTGCTGATCGTGCTCTGCAGATGACTGCGTATTTGAACTGGTAACGATCGTCCATGTTAAGATCGGATTCTGACTGCAAAAGCTGTCAATTGTGAATGTAACGAAAGAGGAACCGATCGAGACGGTTTAGGGAAATCTGAAATCAGTAAGGCAACCTTGATTGTTGATAGCTCGCCAATTATATAAAAGTTAGTCATCCAGACGGGGAAGTGTCCGGGTGGTTTTGGGCTCACCTGTGCTTTTTAATTGATCCCTCTGCACAGAATGGTTTTTCTGAGTTTTATTATTAGGTCTTCACATCATTGGAACCACGAGGAAGAACAGAAGTATCGATATGAACTTAAGCCCCTCCTTCCACCGTTTCAACGCGACTTTCTGGCGGTCCGGCGATGATTTGAATAACAATACCAGTAAGTTTATCCAGAATTGCTCATCTTGCCAAATGTTGCTTCTTCAAACAAATACGGGCCCCTCGTCACGACGAGTGACGTCTAGTGTCACTTCCGAAGAAAATCAGTTACATTAAATTCAACTGAACTGAACAGTAGCCAGACAACATTATTCGGCTGCTCTAAATCTTAGTGTCTTCATATATTCACACCAAGGAATTGGCGATCTCATTGCAGAACGCTTCGGTTTTTTTATTGAACTGATAAAACTACATCACTTGGCGCCTTCTAGGATTCACCCTGGTGATAAAGTGCACAAACATAAAGTCCCTTCGGAAACTAACTCTCAAACTGTTGAAAACCAGGTTTCGGAGTGGTCACCAAACTTCAAGAAAAGTACGATGGTGCTAGTGATATGAGCACCCGATTCGCTTCGAAATTGCCTACAGAATAGTTCTTGTGATGTAATTGAACTAGGGGGTTTTGGCACTCATGCTCGTCTTAGGTGACACCAAGGGTGAATGCATTGACAAATATGGTATACATATTTTTGAACGCCAGTTTGCGTGCACCACGAGGTCAACTCACCTGCTGAATTGTGAAACAATATGTCTGGAATTGATCGAATACTGCCTTGAAACATATGAGCTTATCCGTCTTGGATAAGCGCTTTACCATGGGCTTATGTTGGATCATCACATCCCTGACGATGTCGCCAAATTTTTCCTTGACGACGTGGCGAAGCTGAAAATAACGAGAGGACAAATCGTGTAAGATTGTGAGAGACTTCAAAAGATTTCTTGCGCAGCCATACGGACCACGTTCGAATATCTGGTGGCCTCAAGAAATTCCCGCTAAATTACCCACTGGATTACCGTTCATCTTCTTCCTAGTAGCACACAATATTCTTCACTAAGCAAATCAATTCTGGCCTACAGCGATCTTTGTATCGTGCATTCAGTTGGTTTTGTGGGATGAAACAAAAGAACCTACAAACCTGAAGTGCATGGTGTAGACGTCGCCAAGCAGTTTCGTGTTCTTCTTCGGTTGCGGCCTCCATCAGGCGTCGAGATATTGAGAATAAATGCATATGAGACGATAGTTTTCTATCTACAACTTTCGCCTGCAAACAAGAATACAATTCGGCATTGCATAACGTTAACAAATGCGCTGAAAATGCTGACTGGGAGAATTGTCTTCCTAGATTACTCAATATGAGAGGAAAATAACCAGGCTAACTGTGTACCTATCTATCTATCTATCTATCTATCTATCTATCTATCTATCTATCTATCTATCTATCTATCTATCTATCTATCTATCTATCTATCTATCTATCTATCTATCTATCTATCTATCTATCTATCTATCTATCTATCTATCTATCTATCTATCTATCTATCTATCTATCTATCTATCTATCTATCTATCTATCTATCTATCTATCTATCTATCTATCTATCTATCTATCTATCTATCTATCTATCTATCTATCTATCTATCTATCTATCTATCTATCTATCTATCTATCTATCTATCTATCTATCTGTCTATCGATCTATTTATCTATCTATCAGGCCATCCGTCTAATTAAAACGATGAGTGAAACGCGCATCAGGGGATTCTTTAATCGACGAGCCAGCCAGTGATGCTTGACGCGGCTCCCGTGATGGATGAGCGCCGATATATCTTGTCTAAGTGCAAGTTCATCACACTACTGATCAGCCAGACGTAGTCGCACTGTTCAGTGTTTAAACTACAAGCCAGGAGGTCGCGGGTTCGAGGCTGTTCGGAGTTTCGTGAGTTGCGCAATGCTGATGGTCCCCAAAAAGGATGAAACAGCCGTACAGTGTTTTTCGGCTTTTCAGCACAGATTGGCTACGCCTACAGGATGAAATCTCCACCCAAAAATCCCCAATCTCTAAAAACTAAG